CACATAGTTGGAAATGCACTGAAAACAATACAGTCCTGATGGACCTGAAGTCACTGAACAGATACAGCCTCCGTCACCCTAACGCACCCGATTCCTGTCCACAATTCTTCCCCTCCCTGCTGAGGAATTCAGGGAGCCGTGTACTAGATATTTTCACCGAGATGAACCCAGCTCCCTTCAGAGGGAGTCTGACAGTGGACAGTGGGAGGGCCATATATTGGCACTAAGCATGTCCACTGTTAGAAAGGTGTTCTTACCCTTCAGGATGGGGACACAGCAAATTAAAGTTAGAACAGAAGAGACCTTTGGCTCACTTCACCATACTCATCTGTACCATCCTCTGCCACCAGTTACACTGACAAGATTTCTACAGCCACTAGGGCGAGCCTCACATGACCTAACCCAGTGATTTCCAATGAGGGTGCCTGGAGATCTTTTTAAGGGTGCCATGGAGTGCAATGCCACATTAGCACTATGCGGTGTGCAAACACGCTTCGCAAGGTAAACCCTGAGTTTTCAAATAGGAATCCATAGTGTTAAAAGCATTCTGGCCCCTTGCGATGCGAATTCTGCTCTGTTGTTTTTCTGTAGTCAAAAAACAAGTGGAAACTAAGAGCTGGCATTTTCCGTGAGGTGCCTCGAGTCTAACAAGGTTGAGAACCACTGAACTAACCACACAGTCTCCCTGAAGCTCCCACAAGAAGAGGGTCACTTCCAGTCCAGGTATCACATGCAATAGCAGCCCCAGTATACCACTAGTGACCAGCTATGCAAGTAAGGGTAAACTCTGACATACTGCACAAGGAGCAAAGTTATTGTTGCTGTTTCAGTTACTGTTTCTTGGCTCTGGCTGCTGTTTCCTTGTGTTCTAGATAAAGGACAGCAGTTCCCTCAAGGTTCAGTACCTGAGTGAAAGTTGCAACCAGGATCAGAATGCCACCGTTCCCATTTGGTAAGCAGATGCTTATGCCCAAACCCACAGTACTATCCCTGGACACAAGGTGCGTTGTGTGCTTTCTCGTACCACTGCTTCCCCAACCAGATTACCAAAAGGCCTATCATTATTCCAGTTAAAAAAAGTGCACCGAGCACACTGTTTTTTCAGCAGCATGCATCTGGATTAAATATTTGTCTTGTAGCATTCATGTTTTATGCAGAGCTCTTCTTTAAATGGAGATTATTAAATTATTTAAGGTTGGGGTTTTGAGACTGTTTTTCATCGGGCACTGCTTATATTCATTACATCGTCCATGGTTCTGGACTGTCAACACCAGCCTGAACAAGACAACTAGATCCACACATGGTGATACCTGCTCAACATTTTCCATGTCCAGCCAGTCTTGTTCATCCAGATCTGCAGCCATTTCCTCCAAGTACACACAGCGGGCTGGAATTCCATTGCCGCTCTTCATACTGGGATCACCTGTGGAAAACCAAACTACCTTCAACCAAAATACCACGGAAATATGTGGAGGACAGTGAAAGCTGCTGTAAGGATCCTGATTACTCTAGGGAGCTATCTGCTGTGAGCAATGACCATAAAGCACCCTCCCTACCACACAGCTTCCAGTATATCTTTACACCTCCAGCAAAACCTGTCTTTTCCAGACAAATGATTTTTGCACAACTGTTTAAAACAGGTTTCACTCTAAACACACAATATATTAGTTATCTTTTAAAGACATAAAAAAACCATAACCACTGTACACACTTGTATCACACAAATTAACAAAGTGAAACTCTACCATAAGAATCAGTATGGGCAAAATCCACTTGAACTGCTGTATCCCAATGTTTGCTACATCCAAATCTGCTGGGCAGCAAATCTCACAATTCACAGCCACGTACTGGAGCAAGAGCTTTGCTTTTCAAGAACAAAATGAGCTCTACTAGGCAATTTATTGCCACGTGGGTCCGTCAATTTATAATTGGCTCTAATGAACACCACCACTGTTTCCACCTGTAGCCACAGTATGCTCAGAAAGGTATAATATTCTCTTCTGCCTTAGGAAAGGTCAAATTAATCATTCCAATGATCAAGTGAATCTCTTCCCATCTGATCTTTTCAGCTGAACTTCCACTCATTGCAAGTGAGGGACAAACAAAAGCACCCACCGTGGCTTTAGGAAAGTAGGATCTGAATGATGGATCAGCAGCATGGTCATGCCAAGTGGAAACAACCCACACTCCAGCCGGTCACTTCATGTTCTTCAGACACCCAAGCACATGAGAAATGAATGTCAGGTTACCGACTTTTTGGGCAGGGCCGTGTCTCCTTTGTGTGCACGCTGTTGATAGCATAACGGGGCCCTGGCAGATGCTTGTGAGCACCTGGGATGCAGCTAACAGCAACCGTACTGAGAAAAGCAGCACAGGACGCGCGCACCAGACTGCAGGAGTTTGCACAGGGTCATGCTTCTCTGTGCAATACTGGAGTCACACGTCTGCCGGCAGACTGCCTGCAGCGCACACCCCTGCCTAACTGCTTGCAGTGCTGGCCTGCTGCGCGAGCCAAACAAAACTTATAAGCCTGGGATTCTTGTACGTACAAAACACTTCACTGAATCCCCACTCACTGTTGTCAAGAGTGATGAGAAAGATCCTCTGGATCATGTGATTGATGTTGAGCTGTTCACACAGCTCCCGATGGGAGCGGAAGGAGCGGCTGATCTCGGCCACAGAGTAGTCGCAGTCGTCCAGACTCTCAGACACGCTGTTATCGGAGTCATCTTGGCTGATGGAGGTTTCATCTGTTGCAAAAGAGAAGCTCGTAAACAAACGTTGCGTTCCCGGTCCCAGGTAAAAAGCTAATCTCGTCAAGCAGCGGCGAGGCTTTCAATGCACTGGGATGGAAGGTGCTGACATAGGAGCGTTATCGACGGCACGCTCGGGAGCGCTCCCGATCCGTGTCTCCACCGACGTCAAACCACGCTCGAGCTTATACTTCTATACGAGAAATCATGCCGCAGACCTCCTGGATCAACATTTGCTATTTGGCAGGCACTGAAAACGTGCAACGGCACTACCACTCAAGAAAGACTCCCGGCTCTTGCATCCACGTGAGTACACACTTTTCATTTCCCCCCGTGTGCGTCGGCCCCGACCCTCCCCAGAGCACGCCCGAGCCAGCGCAGGATAAGCCTCGCGGACGCGTCGTCAGGGAAGAGCCGGTTCCCGGCCCGCGTACCTGTGAGCTGCCTCAGCTGCTGCTTCTGGACGGCAGCAAACTGCTTGGCATCCGCTAGAGAGCTGAAGAGGGCTGCAAAGGGGTTACTCGAGATGCTGTTGTTATTCTCCTGGTCTGTCATTTCACTTCCGAGCGTGCTCCATGCAGACCTGGGGAGAGGGGCTGGAGAAGGCACAGGCGTAAGGACCGTAACGCGGCGCCGGCCACAACAGCGCAAGCCGCGCTGCTTTAGAAACAAAGACCAAGTCCTTGAGAGCAGGGCCGTGGTTTTAAGGAGGAACGCAAGGCTGAAAACCGTTTAGTCATAACCTCCAAAACCGCCCGGCGAGGACGAGGACGAGGACGCTGCCTGCGAGGCGGTCAGCGCGGCGCGGACGCCCTGCTCTCTGCCTCGCGGACGCTCCCGGCCCGCCCGGGGACCGGTGAAAACAAGGGGCTCGTAATGGGGCTGTGGCGGCCGTCGCCCGCTTCCCCGGGCGCGGCAGCTGCTGGCCGCGGGGGCGGGGGCCCGGCAGGGAACGGGCACGTCTCG